AAAAAAAAAAACACTTTCATTCGAAAGTGAATATTTTAGTATCAGATATTTGCAAAGAACAACTGAGAGCATTTTTTATCAGATTTCATAATTCTAGCAATTATTTAGTTTAGTGAGGGGAATAAAAGAGCGATGAATTTCGAATGCTTACAGTGCCAAAAATGTTTCAGTGCTTTTGCGGTTACAGTACAGATCAAGTAGCCCTCTTAAAGAACCATATTCTAATGAAGCATTTGATGAATATTACGACATGCGCGTTCTATCATAAGCCGGGACAGCAAGCAGTTTTTACCTCATTAATCGGATATTATGAGCACATTCAGAGAAAACATAAAGCAGATTACGATGCAAGAAGACAAAAGTAAGCCAGCAAAAAAAAGCTCTGCTTTTTTGCTTTCAAATTTATTATTCTCATTTTCACTAGCATTCTTTGTAGTTTAGGAAACTGATATTTTAGTCCAAACATAACCTATAAATGCCCATTCTGCTTGGAAGAAGATGGTTTAAATCACACACAATTTGATTTTTTTGCCCATGTTGTTGGATTTCATATCAGATTTTTAATGGAGTTGACACTGCTCAGGTTGGTTGTGGAACAATGCTAAAGTTTTCTGCAGTCAAAATTGTTGTGTGATTTTACAGCTAGTAAATACGCTACAGAAACTTTAACAGATAGCAATATGGCATACTTCCAGAACGTTCTCCTTCTCCAATTGAGAAAGAAGAAAACTATTTCACTTTTATGAACGTGAAACCTGATTTTCAAAGAAGTCAGGCGACAAAACAAATACACAAAAAATGAATTTAAAGCATCAGAAAGATTTACTCCGCTTCAATTTTATTGTTTGTATTAATGCATAAGTAGGCTTTTCTTTCTTCCAGATGGCCAAAAGAATGGAATTTTGAAGCCTTGCAAACTTTGAAAGAAACAGAAAAAGAAGTTTTTGCAAACGGTAAAACTTGTTCACTTTTCCATCTTTTTTTATACAAAAGACACATTAGACTTTCACTTTACATATTATACATCAGAAACTGTGTCAAAAGTTCCCTAATACTTATAGCATTTTTTTTTGGTTAAAATCAGTAGCTGATTTAAAAAACAAACTTATAAAACAGCAAATGGATGAAATCATAAAAAAACTACATTTGAATCTTGAACTAAATAAAATTTAATTTTAGTTTCTTTTAGCCAACATTTTGCACAGTACAAAAAACAATCCATTTTGCACAACAACTAATTGTGAAGCCTCGGGACAAATTGCAAGGCTGAACAAAACTTTTCTGATTTATAACGAGGTGAAAACATATCATCCAGTCATTCTCCAGCTAAATTGCTAATGAAGCTATAACTACTGAAACAATAATTGAAAAACGATTTATAAAAATTAAAAAGTAATTGGCGAATAATATGATATACTTTTAGGACATTCTCCTTCTCCGATTGAGAAAGAAGAAAACTACTTCACTTTTACACACGTGAAACCTGATCTTAATATAAATGGTGCCTCTCTTATGATACCACTCGATGCACAGGCAAAGTCACTGACTATGACAGCAGGTAACTAAAGCAATAAAATAATTATTTGTGAAGTAAGATATTGATACAGGAGATGCCGAATTGATCAAGCAATCACCGACCACCATTTTTAAACTGGTTTACCTCTGCTTGGAAAAGTTTTCTTTCAACCAAATCTATTATCAAACGTCTATAGATCACTTAGGCATTGGCCTCAACAACGACGTTTTTGAGCCAAATGAGAAGTACAACCTTCTGCAAGATATGATTGACCTCAGTAATCATAATGATGACTTTTTGCTGGCAAAGCTAAAAAGTTCAGTGGGAGCAAAATGCGATTACTGCCTTGCTTGCGCTGACACTATGCCAATGTTGTATGAATATCACGGCCATATTGCTCCTCCTTATTATAACAGGACGGTAAGGAATTCTTCTTCTGAGAGGCCTGGTCATTAAAGCATTTAGTCTAAGTGTTCCTCAAAAACCGCCAGTCACATGCTACTGGTCAGTTATAGTTTAGTACATCGACATAAACGAAAACTGTTATGGATTGTATCAATGCAGTAACACCGTAGTTTTACCACTACCAGTAGAATCAGACGATGGGAGAGGGTACTGCTATGAGCGTTTTTTGTGCGGTTGAACCAAGGTGTTTTTTGCCGCAGAAAAGATCAAAAAAATTAATGTAAAAAAATAAACCCAAATATTAAGAGGAGCCTGAAAAAGCTTTACAAAAGTACTCTTTGCTTGTTTTTTCCTCTGCTGTAACAACATTAGGCTATCTTTAAAATCCTTCGCTAACCCGTCGTATGAATTTTTCAATAGACAGTATTATGTAAAACTTTAGCTCCTCAACTTTTGATGTGCTGCTTTCTCGTAAGCAGTTCGAAGAATCGTTCGTTTAGAACTCCTAAAAAGAGGTCAGAGGAGTAACTATATTCAAAAATTTAAGCTATGTCTTTGACCTGAAGCACTGTTCCCGTATATTCTGCTTGTCTTTTGCAGATTTTGTAGATCTTTGGTTAACGGTTTAACAGGCTGCGTAAATGCCTATCGACTTTTTTAAATAAACACAGAATTATTTGCATAGAAAGAATAAAACTAAAGTTTGTTGCGGAGGCAATATCATTACTTTTCATCTACTTTTAACCAGTTTTTTTCCAAAAGCTTTGCGAACTTGTTTAAAGAGGGGCCAGTCGTGTGGAGCAGTTTTCATAAAAGCACCTTACAATTTCTTCAGTTCAAACAAAACTGCTTGCTTAGGAGAAGTTTTAGAGCATAAGCTTTTTGCTATTCTCCGCTAGTTTATCTGATAATTTTGCTAGAGGAAAACAAAGTAATCATAATAAGCTGATTAGATCACTAAAAAAAGTTTTACTTTAACAACGAAAAAAGCAATTTTAAATTTAAATTATGATTGATCATAGGATTTGTTTAGTGTTTTTGCGGCCATCAGTCAAGGCAGTTACGTGCGTTGAAGAATCATATCCTGATGGAACATATGTCCTTTATTGTTCACTGTGAATTTGATGACCAACCTCGCGAGCAAAAAAAATTCACCTCCTACTTGGGGTACTGTTCGCATGTTAAAAAAAAGCATAAAAGTGAGTACGAGGAGAAACTGAAACAGTAAGTTATTGTTTAAAGAAAACTAAAGTCTATATAGCTGACGTTCAAAATTTCACTTAATTTCTTCCAAAATTTCAAGCTATTATGCAAACCACCCGTTCCAAAATTTGACTGTGAAACATAAAGTGAGTTTTAAAGACAACGATGATGGGTAAGGAGTTTAATTGGGTAAACTCTGTTGTTATCCAAGCAATAACAGTATAGAAAATAAGACGAGC